ACACATATGCTTGAGGTTGATATCAGAAATTATCCTTGATGGCTCTACCACCTTATTTATTGAGGCAGGCTCTATTCAAAGGAAACTTCCAAGAGCTTGCCAATGTGGGGAGACTTGCTAACCTCTTTCTTCTGGGGACCTCTTATCTCTGTATTCTAAGGTTATAGTCACAGATGGGCTACTACATCTGCCAACCCATTTATTTGGGTTTTCAGGATCCAGTCTCTGGTCTTTATACTTGTGGGGCATGCTCTTCAACCACTAGGCCATCTCCCAAGCCCTACTTCCTGGCATTGTATCTATCTGCTGACCTGTCTGTATATTTCTATGTCTTACATATCTATCTATGTATAGGTATCTGAAAATAATTGAAAGATAATTTCGTAGCGTTTCTTTAAATATTTATTAAATATAATAAAATATATTTCAATTATACAGTGTATAATTTTGTAATTGTACAACTTAGATTATGCATGTCATATTACTTATGATGTAATGACACACAGCACTTTACTGGAGAAAGACCATTTATTTTTTGTGACTATAGTTGGTGTAAAATGCTACATATTTATCCGTTGTACATTCTTCCTTTCTCCTACAACACTGGTCTTATTTAGGGAATCATCTAGTTAAAGACAAAGACAAGATATCCTGAGTAAATTGGGAGCATGGGGACTGTGGGGGAGGGTTGAAGTGGGGAGGGAAGAGACAGGGAGGGGAGTAGAGAAAGATGTAGAGTTGAATAAAAATCAATAAAAAGACTCTTATAGGAAGTGGTGAACATTTAGTGTAATTTAAAGGAATGAGATGCAGATTGGGCAGTCAAGTTGCTATTGATAGGGTCTTAAACTTGCAGAAGATTAGGGACAGAGGGCTGATTTTGGCTCACAGTTTGAGGGTGCAGTCCATCATGATGGGATAGGCATGGAAGCAGGAGGATAAATCAGTTGGGCACATTGCATCCGCAGAAAGCAGAGAGAGAGAGATTAATGATGGGGCTCAGCTTGCATTCTCCCTTTTTTACTGTTTATATAATCTGGGGCCCCAGCCTGTGAGATGATTTCATCCACATTAAGGGTGGATCTTCTCAGTTAATCCTCTTATAATTCTCTTACAGACGTGCCCAGAAATGTGTTTTTTACGTGATTTCAAGTCCAGTCATGTTGCCAGTGAAGAAGGAGCATCAGATCCTGGCTTAAAAGGGGTCTCTGACCTAATTCATCCCTTCTTCCCTTGTCTCCTTTCCTTTGCCCACTGCCCTCCCCTTCCCAGATGTCCAGAACTAGAGAGATCATTTTGCAACTGCTAGGGCAAGGTTGACACACAGCAGCTGTGACCCTGACAGCTTTGACCTCCTGTAGTTGCTTACTCTTGAACTTTCTTACATTGGGAAACAATTAAGGCCCATGGTGCATTTTTGAAGCCTGGAGTACCTGGATTTTCTCTTAGCAAGGAGTAACCTTGAGGCTCCTACCAGGAAGATCCCAATGCCGCTCACCGTTTCTGGTTCTTGCTTCTGTGCACACTGAACACAGAAAGGCATACAGTCCTGCCCCTGCTCCTGAAAAGTCTGGGCCCACCAGACTGTATTCTTGGGTTTCCTTGAAGCCAGAGTTGCACAATAAAGGAGCTCTTGCATCCTTTATTTTTGTTTGAAGTGGAATGGAATTTGGAATGATGATGTGTGGTGAAACAGAATCCTTTGTAGTTATGACAACTGGGAAGTCTAGTTTCAGATAAGCTTTAAAGAGTTGCTTTTTGTACTCCTAAAATTGTGGAAGGATGATGGAGTGGGGGTTGGCATTCTCGGTCAGTGTTATTCTAAAGTGAAATATATTTCATTTTTACTCCTTAGCCATTGTTATTTTCTTTGTTTTTCTTAACTTTTATGTTTTAAAAGTATTACTCTTTTCTATTCTGATTACAGACAATAATGCTTAGATATATAAAGTGTTAATTATAAAGTGCTGTTTTACAACTTTATGTATTTTCAATTTTAAAATTTATTTCTTTTATATTCTCTCTGTACTGAAGTAGTAAGCAAGAATCTGTGTTATGTGAAGTTTTGTCTAAAAAACTACTGAATGGGTCAAGTCTGCCATCCCCTATTTGCCCTCTATCTTTCCTGTCCCTTTACTTTTGTTTACTATTTATTTATTTATTTTAAGGTTTTTAGGATCCGGATCAAGTCTGCCATCCCCTGTTTTCTCTCTTGCCTTTACTTTTGTTTACTCTTTCATGGATTCACAAGAAAACTTTTTGTCTCTAAATATTATGATTTCATTATTTCTTAAAGCCACAAGTCACCATCATATATTTATGGTGGATCATATCATATCTTTCCATCATGTGGATGGCTCAAATGGGAGAGTTAGAGTCTATATACCTCCCTTCTTTGTGGTAAGATGATTGCTGGATCCTGAGGTTTGCATTATTGACTCCAGTCCCTCCTGGTGCAGATCACTAGAACTCCTCTTGTGTCGTTGAAACTTTGTCCTGAACAACATGTCACATTTCTTCCCCCTTTCTGCACTATTCTCTATGTTCCTTTATCTTGACTTTGTCAGATTCTACACGTAAGTGAGACCATGCAGCTTTATCTTCCTGCACTTGCTTATTTCATTTAACATGATACCTCCTCCCATGTTGTTACAAATGGCAGGTGCCCTTGTTTTCAAAGGATGAACAGGACTCTGTTTTGCATGTACCCAACTCTGTTTTGTGTCTGTGAATATTTGGAGCCATCTCATATTTAGGCTACTGTGAATGACACTACAATGAACACAGGAGTGCAAATATCTCTTCAACATAGCCATTTCAGTTACTAAGGAGATATATATATATATATAGTTACTGGATGCCAGATCAAATTACAGTTCTGCATTTATTTGAAAGCTCTGCAGTGTTCTCTAAGTTCACAGAGCTAATTTACGTACCCACCGACAGTCTCAGAATTTCCTTTTATTTTGCTTTCTTCTCAGCGCTATCTTTATCTTTTGAATAATAATCGATCTGATGGGTCTAAGATGCTAATTATGTTTTTAATTTAGTATTTTCTTAATAGTTAGTATTATTGAACATTCTTTTCATGAATCTGCTGGCCATTTGGATGTTCAAGACCTTTGTCTGATTTTAAATGACAGGGTTCCTTGCTGTGTTTTGATAGTGACCTTTTGTGAAACGCACTCCATCCACTGTCTAAGTGTCTCTTCACTGGATTGTCACAGCAGCTGTAAAGGAACCTTTGCTTTTATGTCTACTGTTGCTTTGTTGACTCTTCATTTTGTTGCTGCACCAGGAAATCTTTGCTAAGGCTAATGCCAAGAATCTTTGTTCATATATTAATTCCTATAGTTTTACGTTGTCAGGTATAATGTTTAAATCCCTCACCCATTTTGAGTTTTGTGTATTTTGTGTGAAAGAATCAAGTTCCACACTCTTAAGGTCGACAGACAATTTTTCAAATACATCTTTTGAAGAAATTTCTGTCTGTGAGATCCTGGCATGCATGTGAAAATCAACAGCATGTTCATTTCTAGACTCATATAACAGTAGTCAGTGTATCTGATTTTATGCCAATGTCATGCTGTTTTGATTTCTGTAGCTTCAATGTATATCTTGATGTCAGATAGTGTGATGGCTTCAGCTTTGTTCTTTTTGCTCAAAATTGCTTAAGGTGCCTGGAAACTTTAATGGTCCTTTGCAAATTTTAGGCTTCCTATATCCAGTTCTGTGAAAAAGGATATTGGAATTTGATAAGGACTTCACTGAATCTATGGATTACTTTGATTTGTGTAAACATTGAAAAACAATTATTCTAAGCAAAGAACACAGGGTATCTTTATATTGAATTATTTTCTTTGGTTTCTTTTGTCAGCACTTTATAGTTCTGATACATACATTCTTTATCTGTTTGTTTAAAGTTATGTCTAATCATTAGATTTTGTTACATTTCTAAGTTGTGTTGTTTTCTTTAATTCTTTTGTGGTGATCTATAATAACCTTCCTGGTCTTAGACTGCTGCTTTATATTTGGCAACTTCATTAAATTCATTTGTTAGTTCTGAAAGTTTTTAGTGACATCTTTGGGGTTTTCTATTTGCAAGATCAGTGATGATTTCATTTGTCTCAGCAAGCCCTTGCTCTATCTATCTCCAGAACCATGGAGAAAGGGTGAAAATGGATATCCTTGTCTAGTGCCTTCTTTTAGAGGAAGAAGCTTCAGTTTTCCACAGTTTGCTATGATGCTAGTTTGGAGCTTATTAACCTCATCATTATACTGCAGTACATTCTTTCTTTGTCTAATTTGTCAAGAATTTCTGACAAATTGAATGTTGAATGTTGGCTTTCAGAAGCTATTAATTACTCCTATAATCCTGGTAATGGGAGGCTGAATCAGGAGGACTTTGAGTTCCATGACAGCCTAGGCTAAATATAGGAAAACCACATTTTAAAAGGAAAGAAGACGTTGAATTTATTTATTTATTTATTTATTCATTCATTCATTCATTCATTCATTTTGGCTTTTTGAGACAGAGTTTCTATGTGTAGCTTTGGAGCCTGTCCTGGAACTCACTCTGTAGTCCAGGCTGGCCTTGAACTCACAGAGATCTGTTTGCCTCTACATCCCAAGTGCTGGGATTAAAGGCATTCACCACCACTGCCTGGCAACAATGAATTCTGAATTTTGTCTAATGCTCTTCCTTAAAGTCTTGTGATTACATAGATTTTTCTTTATTTCATTAATATAGTATATTTTAATGTTGTTATAGCAGTAGACCATAGTAGAACAATAGAACATAGTCAAATATGTACTAATTTTAATTTCCCTCTTGAAACTATTAAAATATACTAAAATAAATTGTCATATGTTTAATTATTTTATCAACTTTCCTTTCATTACTGATTTTTGAGGTGTTTAAGGTCTGGTATTTTAAAGGATGGGCAAAATTTAAGTTATGAAATTCAAGGTTTTTTAAAATTTGTTTTTTAACTTCCCAGATGGAAAAGGTGGAAGCAGACCTAACTAGATCCAAGTCTCTCCGCGAGAAGCAGTCCAAGGAGTTTCTGTGGCAGCTAGAAGACGTCAAGCAGAGATATGAGCAGCAGGTCAGCCCTTCGTTTTCAGGATACCAGTTAATTTTTGATAGGCATATAACCCTCTTTTAATCATCTCTTCTTATCAGAGAAATCTCTGTAAATAAAAATACAACCACTAATGTACTTAAAATATTTAATAAAGTGTAATGAAACACAGACACAAAAGTTTAAATATTCTACTGAAGCCTATTCAGGTCGTTTGTTATTCTGACTATTTAGTTGTGAACTGTATTGTGGGTCTTGATTCCCTCTAGCCCTAGGATGACTTGCTCACTCCTTTACAGGGTGGCACTGGGTCCCTGCCCTGTGTCTGCCTCTGCTAGCAGCACTAGTCATTGTCAAGGAGGCCGTCAGCATATGGATAAGAGTTGATGTGATTCTGAAGAGTAGAAAGGAGAAAGAGCATGCCCATAGGCTTCGCCATCTCAGGGCAGGAGCCTGATTACCAGCACAGCAGCATGGCTATGTGGGTGATCAGGGAAGCCCGAATCCCCCCTTGAGAGGCCTCATAACACCACAGGAAATTTTTAGGTCTTTGAGGCACAGCATTGTAGTTAGAGGGAACAGCAAGTTACAAGACCCCAAGAAGAGAGTAAACTGGGAGGAAGAAAACTGACAGACCAGTTAGAGAAATTTAGGGAGAAAATTCCAAGTGTGGGAGCAGGGAAGTAGACCCAAACTACAGTGGAAAGATTTTAGATTTTAAAAATCAAAAGCTCTTCTCTTTTTAAAAGTCTTTCAGAATATTTAACTACTACTAATTTTTTTTATTTATCTAATTTGCTTGTATTTAACATCTGGAAAAGCATTAATTGGATTTGTAACACAGGTTAATAAATTTATTTCTAAAGATATTTAAATCTTTGGAATCTTAAAGTAAGAATAATTTTTAAATTATACTTTAAGCTCCATTAAGCAGGTACTATATCAAAACTAATTAATCCCTTATGATCACTGGATTTTATTTCCTCTACTAATTGATAGCAATTAGTGGTTTACTTGAATTCAGTAAAAAGCACACCTGATCTGATATGTGTCCTGAGGGTTGTTGTTTTAATCTTAATATATTAGCAAAAATAATTGCCTGAGTTACTTCCATAGGGATGGTATGATCGCATCTAGTTAGAAAAAGAGTGCATTGGTCTTTCCTGTTTAGAATCTGACAATCCTTCTCTGTTTGGAACAGGCAACTCATGCCCGCCCTGTAACATCTAACCTGTGCTCAAGGCTTTACATCTTTTTAGCCCACATCACTTTTTTTTGTTATTTCTCTAGAATCTATCATATAATTTTGGACTTTAAATATGTTCTCTATTGAAAAATTGTTGCTTATAACTCTATATTATTAATCCTAGTTGTGAAGTGACCTGCTCAGAGTCCCAAGTTAAATTGTGTGTTAAATTATAAGAATGCTGAAATAAGTGGACTGGATCAAATGGAAGAGAGGAGGAGATGAACCTCCCCTATGAAGTATTTACACATATGTACAAAATATGTGTGTGTGTGTGTCTGTAGATTATTTGGAGTAATAGAAAGTTACAAATGAAATATATCACACTAAATCTATCTGGTGCAATCCTATGTCAAAACATGCAAACTATTTGATAAGAGGAATAAATTACATTTAGAACACCTTGTAGATTATCTCATTTGTATAAAATTAAAGGATATCTATATCGTGTTGTTAGACATACAAATTTAGTAAAAAAAATTTGAAAGACTACACACTTCTATGGCGTGAACACAGATTTGTAGGTTTGAAGTGTAATGAATGCAGACTTTCCCATCATGCCTTAGGTAACCCATTTTACTTGAAATTAACAAATCAATATGTGCTTTATATAGATGCTTAAGACATTAGAACCATTAAGGACAAGAAGCTATAGAAAAATATAGAACATTCGTATTATATTACTTTAAGTGATAAATGCATATTAATGAATAGAAAATAAATTAAAATCATACACATACACACAGACATGTACATATTATAAAAATAAGTATTAAAATCTGAAAAGAAAAGATAAAACATTAGTGGATTGTTTTCAAAGGCACCAAAATCTGGATAACATGCTATTTTCAAACTGTAAGGTTCAGTACAAAGGTTATTTTTCAAATCAGATTTTTAAAAGGAGTTGCATAATAGAAGAATGGTGTAGCCAATTTCTGATTATTATGTAATGGCATCTAAAAGTCATTTGGAAACATACCAACTTAATAATGTCTATTTCTAATGTAATATGCTTGGTCTACTGAGAAATGGAGAATTATTCCATAATCCTAGTGGTGTAAGAGAGGCATTTAGGAAAATGGAGTATCAAATATTATAGTAAGCAGTGTAGCCTGTGATTGGAGGCTGATGGAAAGATGTAGGGGCATATATAATATACATTTTAGCCAAATAATGGTCAATGTGGTAGCTTTAAAACTTTGAAAATTTTCTTAGCAGAAAAATTTATTGGTTAGAACAATATTCTCCAGAAGCCAGTTTATAAATTTCAGGTTTTTACTGTGAATTTTTATTTTGAGAAATGATAGCACATTAGTGACCCAACATGTCAGCCTGAATATGCCCCAAACTAACCCAACTAAACCAAGTTCATTTCCCTCTTTGACCCAGGTATGCCAGTGGAATTTTAGGGAAAGGGGAGTGGAAGTATGTTGACTGAGGTTTCTGTCCCACCCAGTCCTGCAGTCACTCAGTCCCAAAGAAATACACAGAGGTCTATATTAATTATAAATTGTTTGGTCTGTTAGCTCAGGCTTCTTATTAACTGTTATAACTTATATTAGCCCATAATTTTTGTCTGTGTTAATACCTTTCTTGGCTTGGTACCTTTTTTGGCGAGGTAGTCACATCTTGCTATCTTGCTTCCTCTGAGACTGGGTCACGACTGCAGGCTAATTCTTTCTGTTCCCAGAATTCTCCTGTTCTCGTTGCCCTGCCTCTACTTTCTGCCTGGTCACCCCACCTCTACTTCCTATTTGACTACTTGCCAATCAGCATTTATTTAAAATACAAGTGACAAAGTACAGAACATTGTCTCACAGCAGAGGTGGCCTGTCTGCTTTTCATGAGCAATGTGACAAGGGTCAGCATGATGGCACTATGAGAAACTTCTCTGTGAAGTGACAGCTTACAGAGCCATCTTTAAATGAGTCACTGAACTGAGACAGGTCTCTTTTAATCACAAGTGGTGATTTAGAATCAAACTTGTTGAAGTTAAGAATTCAGACAGGGAGTTAATATGTAGGATAACCCCCCCAATTTTCTGATGTTTCAAATTGACTGAAATTAAGTAGCTTATTTACTGGGATTAAACATGAAATGCTGTGCTTTGCTTTGGCTTAGAATATCAGCTGCAGAAATTTGAGGGTAAGTGAAAGGAAAGATGACAGAAAGAATCAGATCAGGGAAACACAGTGACCAGGACCACAAGACAGGATGTTTAAATAGCTATGGTCCTAGTCTGTCTACATCTTATGTCACATAAACAGTAAAAATTTGGGTCATATTTATGTAGGGCCCTGACAAACTTGAACATAGAATATAGCAAGGTCAGAAATTATGTCAGAGGGAACTTGTAAAGCATTAGATTTTCTAACCAAGAAGAGAGAAAACTAAAGCGAATTGAGTATCTTCCATTCTTACTGTAGGCCACAGCTCCCCAGAACTCCTTTGGGCCAAGCTCTGTTCTCTACATGTTCTGTCTTCATTTCCTGTACATGCTCATCTTGACAGTGCTCTCTATTCATTTCCCCCATCTTCTAGGTCTAGAGTACAAGCATGTCCAGTTATATCACTAGCTGTAGTTTCGCACTGAGTAGGTGACGGGTCAAACTAGAACCTGAGGTGTTCTCATAGCCTCCTCTCTAAACCTGCTGCTGGGAGTTCCAGGAGCAGAAATGGAACCCCAGTGCAGTTGGAATTGTTTCAAGGTAACTCTCTATTGAAGAACTTTCAAATGTGCACTGAAAGTCTATGAGAGCATGTTTCCCAGTGTCGAGCATCTTCAAGTATCTGTTGGGAGAGTTGGGAAGGCATGTTTTGCTTTTGGGGTTATCTCATTGTGAAGGTCCCTTCCACACTGAACATTCTGTGATTTTCTGCTCATCTGGTCTCAGCTTCTCCATAAGAGACGCACACTAGTCGTGTGCCATGACAGAGTCTTTCCTTATGTATCTACCTCACCACACTTTCTCATACACTTCCACCTACTTTCTCAGTTCCTATTCATATTCAAGTGTGACGTGCTTTCTACCATTTTGTCTTTCTTCTCTTCAAAGGTGAACATTTAGACACCGTGATTACGGCATTTCTACCCGAGCCCATGATTCTCTCACTGGGGCAGAGTAACCCCGCAGGGTGGTTAGCAAATAGGGTTGTGGAAGGTTCCTTATATTCCTCCGGAAGTGTTGGATTTATGTGATTATTTTAACAGAAAGCATATGGTTTTACTATTGAGGTAATATTCATATTAAAACAAACATAGACTTTGCTGCTTTGTAAAATACAAAATTCTCACAAAATTTTAATATGAAATTGGACATTTTCAATGAAGCTTTCAGTTTGCTTTCTGCTTAGGGCTGTGGCCTCAGGTCCTGGGGGAGGAGATGTGAGCATAAGTCATTTGCACTGCTGGGAAGGTTTTCGGTGGCAAAGTTTCAGAAGCACCTCCCCAGTCAATCTTTAGGTTTTATAATGAGGAGCTGACATTCAGAGGAAGTGAGAGAGTTGTGCCCTCTGGGCCTCAGTTTCCTTCACCAGGCTTGATTTGAGCCCCTCCCGTATAGAACACAACTTGCTGGGAGCGTAATGATGTTAGAAAAGCAAAGAACAAGTGGGCCGAATGCAGGCCCAGAGTGTACAGATATGGAAGAGCAACATCAAACACATGGGATAAATACTTACAAATATCCTGTAACGCCCAAGCTTCCATCAGGATTTCCTGTTCTTTCCTGTATGAGGCATTGGAAGAGAAAGACAATTCTAATTGTTCTTTCACAGA